ATGTGTAACTGTGTTTGTGACCAATAAAGGCCTTGAATCTTGAATCTTGAATCTTTTGGGTGACTTACATTTCTGCAGATCTTATTCTTCCACATAAAGTTCTAATTATGAGAATTACTTAAAATCTTGCAGAGTAGTAACTAATGATTTATGTGTCCATCTTTTGGCATAAAAATTGTCAATGACAGGAAGGTAAATAACTGGTGCAGAGTGAAATCTGAATGTGTGACGGGTCAAATAAACGTAATACAGTAAAGAGAAATAAAAGTAATAAACACGCACAGAAACAAATGAATCAGGACGGCGGCTCGTTTTCTTCTGGTTGTTTTTATTTGACAGACCACCTGCCTTTGTTTTTTTTTTTTTGTAGTTTTTCTTTTTTTAAACACAGCAACATGAAAATCGTCCCACTTCATTTACTACCATTAGTACAAAATGTGTCTTTTACAAAAGGAGCCTCTTTCAGACTGTGTGGGACAGTGTGTTGGGGTACAGCAGTGCAGAAATACTGGAGTCAGAAAAAAAGAACTGGTCGCGAACACCGACGATGAGCAAACCTAAAAGTGAACCGAACGATCGGAAGATTTCCTGCTACTGGAGTGTTTCTTAACGTACACCTAGAGTTTGAGTACAGTTTTATTTAGACACACGACACTAGAGTATGTGCATTGAAGTGAAAAAGTGTTAACTATACAGTACAAAACTATGCAGAGGACTTCCTCCTGAAGCAGCCCCGTGTTACTGCCCGACGGTAGACGGCTGTACTTTGAACAAGCTGTCAGATGGATGTAGTGTTAGTCCTGATGCGCTGCAGCTCCCATGCCATTAACCGATGTTTGAAATTAAATAACAGCAGGAAACAGAACCTGCAGAGTGACGCCTCGGCCCGTCCGGTCCTTTCAGACCGACGTGAATGACTGCAAAAACATTTACAAAACAAAAACCCCCCAGAAATGAACAAAACACATGAGGTAAACAAAACATGGTATCATCCACAGACCAAATATAGCTTCTCATATCACCACGACATTATACTTCATAAAAACCCAGACTTGTTTTTTTTTTTTTTGTAAAATGACAATTTACACATTGGCGTTGGGCACAACTTGTAGTTTTAGAACTTCGGGTGTTGACATTCGTTTTTTTGAATTATTCCTGTTACTTGTTCAATAATAATAATATTAATAATAATAAAACAGAACAGTAATTGCCCTTTCTTCCTCTCCCCTTGCATTGTAAACAAACAAATGAAAAGCCCAGCCCCAGTCGTCAGTCATGAGGGTCGATCATCTCAGTGTCCAGCTTTGTTCCGATGGCTCACCGACACAGACAGTCTGAGCAGTTCCTGAGTTTATAACTCATCCTTGAGTTTAGAGTCTGTGCCGTCGTCCTCCTCTTCCTCCTCCTCTTCTTCTTCCTCCTCCTCCTCGTGCTCCTCGCCCTCCTCCTCCTCTTCGTCCTCCTCCTCGTCCTTCTCCTCCTCTTCCTCCTCGTCCTCCTCCTTCGCCTCGTCCCTCCTCTTCTTGTCCTCCTCCTCCCGTTTCTTTCGCTCCTCCTCCTCCTGGCCTTCCTTCATCTTCTTCTCGGCATCCTGGAGGAAAAACACAAGAAAACAGTGAGAAATATATTGATTTTCTGCAGCAGCGCTTTCCTACAGACGATTTCACTTCATGTTGATTACATGCGTATATGTAATATGGGGAATTCTTCTTCTAAGACGACACAAAATAAAACTTTAGCAAACTCTTTTGCCAGTAATTGCTCAGAAAATTGAATTACATAAGAAAATGCGGTGCCTATAAAGTAGAAAAGCAATAACATAGAAGTTCAATAAACTACTTAAGACTGAAACGGGAAAAAATGATACTGAGGTCGTAAATATCAGACATAGCAATGAAATATTGCACATTAAATTTAAATACTGCACTAAAAAAGTTAAATACGCTGCACATTACATTGATGTGTTGTGCATGAAAATTGAAATATTGCACGTAAAAATTAAAATACTGCACATTAAAAATTAAACTCTTAAACGTGATACTAAAATCTGAACAATAATAATATAGTTTGCAATATTGCTTTTATAAGAAACTGGACAGTCTTTACAGTTTGATCAGTTTATCAGTTACGGTGCAGACTTTTAATTTATGCAGCACATCGAACTTTTAATTCCTGTGCAGAAGTCAGAGACGATGCAAGTTTTCTTTGCTGTAAGCTTTTCTTTCAGCTTGGTAGAGTACAGTTTAACATATTTTCAGTTAGATTTAATGCTAACATCATGCTAACTAATGCAACGTTATGTGTGGAGCTCACTAGCATTTGCATTTTACTATCATTTAGCAGCACATATAGTCCAATATCATGTTTTTCATATTATTTATTACCTGTTGCTGCATAAAAAGAGGCAACATTACTATATTATTTGCTGGTATTTTAACTTTAGCCACCAATACTACTCCAGCAACAGTGTGTGTGCACAGAAACCATCTGGAGTCACATTCGAGCTCTCTCTCGGAGTAAAATATTTACCAGCTCTGTGCTCTGTGGTGGTCAGTGTATTGTCCAGCCAGTCAACATGCAGCCTGAGAACTGGTAAAATTACACACCTTAGTTTTGCCCCACGTGTCGTTGCCGATTTCTTCCGCCAGATTTGGGTCATTGGTGACCAGGAAGTTGTCGAAGATGGTACCAGACTTGACCTACAGCAAAACACAAGAACACAATATTTTACTACTAAGCTCAACAGCACATCTGCATTTATAACCGTGTAGAAAGAACCGTTGCTCTAAGCGGTAATTAGATCATTTTGCAGTGGCTATTGCTAAAAAATACAAATATACAGTGCAAATGACACCATGCAGCCAGATTCATGTTATCAGTCCACAGTGTTGTTGTTCATTTCCGCTAAATTCACTCTTAATTAAGAGTGAACTTATCTGGCTTCAGCGTCTCGTTACCTGCCACAAGTCGAGTCCGATCACGCCGATGCTGTCGTATTTATAGATCTCAGAATCGGCCGTGTACTCGGGGTTGTCAATCTCGGGGTGGATCCACTTGCCCTTGTAGGCCGGATTGCTGATCTCTCTGGGTTTCCACTCGCCCTGTGGACAACGACACACAGAGAGGCAGTGTGTTTACTGTCAGAGAAATCACAGCAGCAAAGACGTATGTGCTGACTGAGGAGGAATTGTGCTGCGTTTACTGCTGCACAGATCAGAAAACATTACTTTTATTACTTATAGTACCTTGTATTTGCCTACAGTTGATTCTTATTTGTTGTAGAACACCGTCTACTGACTTGCAGCACTTGCCTTTTTAAAAAAATCTTTTGATCCTTCTTTAAAAACTTCTGAGTGTTTATGCACCTAATCTAATTCCTCTTATGTGGAAACATGCTTGGCAATAAAACTGATTCTGGTTTGTGGGTATGAAGCTAAAAACAGGTATTATTTGATGATAATGTAAATGTTAGCACAATGCTAACAACACAGGCTGTGTTTCAGACAGGAACAGCGCTGAATAACTGTAATTTTCACATCTATCAAACAACAATATGTATATTTTTTGGTCTCTTGTTGAAATCCCACCACATATATTTTAAACTGAGAATTAAAATAAACTGAAATAAAAATGGAACAAAGTAAATGCAGAGCTCTGTGTATCAGACTGGGAGAAGCGCAGCAGGAGTTCGACCTACTGACTGCATAAAGCGTTGTAATTATTCGCCGTGTACCTTGTAATCAGGGTTGGTGACCATCGGAGGCTCCCACTCTCCGTCCATCTCGTCGTCCCAGTCGTCGGGCTTCTTGGCATCAGGATCCGGGATGTTCTCGGGCTTGTCCCAGTCCTGCAGCAAACAAATACGAGTTTAAATACACCAACAAATACTTTAAAAGAAGACACCCAGGTTTCACACAATTATACGAACACTGTCAGTAAAATGACACATGAGTTCTCAGACGGACCTCTGGTTTCTTATCGTCGGGGTCGGGGATTTTCTCCCGGTCGTCCCAGTCTTCTGGCTTTTTGGCTTCGGGGTCCTTAATTTTCTTGGGAGGCAGAAAGTCCCAGTCGTCCTCCAGGTTGCCGGACTCGACCTTCTTGTTGTCGATCTTCACCTCGTAAGTGTTGTCGGGGTTGACGATCAGCGTGTACAGGTGGGTGTATTCATCATCCTGCAGGGAAGGAAACAAACATGTGCAAATGTTGCTAAAAAAGCTGTTCTATTTTATCAGCTGGTTAAATTTTAGCAATAAAATAAGAAAAAAAAAATAGATCAGCTACAATTTGTTCATTGCAACTGGAAAGTTTGGAATTAAAAAAACAGCTTTTATCAGCTGAAGAACTGTTTATTCTCATCTCACCTTGCACCTGATGTCCTTGTTAATCAGATGGTTCTTGCCCTTGTAGTTGAAGATCACATGAACTTTCTTGGTGCCCGGGCCGCAAATATCAGGACCTGAACAAGCACAGAAGAAAGAATATAGAGAGTTAGGAGTAGATAAGGTAGTAGTTTGACTTTAGCAGGTATGATTTGTACATTTGTAGAGCATCAGTGCATCAATGTCTGTATGTAAACAAGCATAAAACTGAGCAAACTAAAGAAAAATGCAGCAGATTTTCAGATGTTGTCGAGGCGACAGCGGTCTCCTCACACCTACCAAACATGATGTTGTAGACGGAGTCTCCGTGCATCTCCTCCTGGCTGAGGTCGGAGGGAAAAAGCTTGATGTAGCCTCCGCCGCAGTCGATGCTCTGCTCGTGCTTCACAGTGAACTGGATGACCAGAGGTTTGCCCTGGTTGCTGAAGTCATCAAAACGGGTCGACAAAGCGTAAAAGCGGGCGTCCTGGCTCGTCTGCAGACCTGCGGCAAGAACAGCATCACTAAAGAGACGGTCCGGCTTCAGGACGGATCGTTCAGGGTTTTCTCAGGAATATTTTACAGGCTGATTTAAATTTGTGACGTCTCAAGATGAGCGACAGATTGTTGTTTGCTGACATTCACGCAGGCAGTGAATTATGAAGCCAGTAAACAATCAACTCAGGCTTTCACATTTTCAAATCACAGCCACGAAACCCAGAACTCATTTGGTTAGAAAACCTCCAACAATAATGAGATACGACTCCATCATTCATTTCCAGCTCTCGGATTTCTAGGTCGCTGTTGCTCAGGGATGAATCTCGCCTTTAATCCAGGTGACGTGCTTCCTGGGTAATGTGCAAATGTCGCATTAACAACGATAGAATTGAGAAAAATGGGAAGCATCGTGGAGCCAGTTTAGTCGGAGGCACAAAAACTAAAGTCTTAACTGAATTTCAGGGATTCTGTGTGAGTGTGGGAGTTAAGAAGTCACATGTTTGGTTTCTTATTTTACAGGAAAAGGCTACTGATATCTGATGTGCGTGGACTAAGTCAGCATTTTGGTTATTATAGTAACTTGTGTTCAAGATATTCCAGGAGAAAAGACGCTGCAGTGCACTGGAGGAGAAAAATACACATAAGAGGCAAAATTCTGTCCATGTGCAATGATAATTTATCAAATTATGGTGCAATAACATGTGTTTTCATTGCAATTAGGCTGCCTGTTGCTATATTTTGATTTAATGATAAGAGGTAACCTTCTGTAACGCACAATAATGTCACTGCTGCAAGTGTTTCATAGTAAAACTGCAAAATTTCCCTTAATAATGATAGAAAACTATTGACTTTACTAAACTAAATAGACTTTTTTTCCTGATCCATTGTGTCTCCACGCTGAGGATAATTTATAATTATGAGTAATTAATGCTGTGTTGTGTGTAAATGTGCATCTTTTTTGCTTTGCAGACTCTCATCTGGATCCTGCAGCTATTTAACAAACTCAGAGGAAAGAATCCTACAAACAACTGGAAGCAAACAAACTAAACTTTATTTCCTGTTAATGTTTAGAGGTTTGTGCGTTCTTCTCAAGACACAAACTGTAACCTTCGCTCTCTCTGATGTTTATGTACGGGAAGCTGCTGGACACACAGCTGTCATCTGATGCAGCCAGACACCAGATTTCAGTGAAATGTGGACATCAGCTGCAGTGGATCAGATCTGAGGTGGCCGTGACCCCTCCGGCTCCCTCCTCGGAGGCTCCTCCGGACACGCCTGAAGCTCTCCACTCACCTTTGTCCTTCTCCGCATCCCCGTAGAACTTCCCCGCAGTCAGGACGAACTTGCCGTAGTCGGACTTGTGCTTGGATTCCACCCAGCGACTCTTCCAGGCGCCTGCACAGACAAGGAGGAGGAGGAAGGGCGGTTCAGCTGCAATCACTGTAACAGGCTGCTAATCCACCTGTGATGATGCATCAGTGGGTGCAGGTGCACTGGGAATGTGCAGCTCTGCAGGATTTGGTGAAAGAACAGAGACAGCTGGGTGAAGGACCGGGGCAGGGGTGTGCAGGGGGTGGCTTGAGAAGGGGGGAGGAGGAGGGGAGACAGACAGGGTTTGATGATAGCTGGGGGAGGTGGGAAACAGAAAAGAAAGGCGAGGAATAGAGGGGTGGGTCAGAGATGAATGGTGGGCCTGTGCGCTAAATGGATGTCAACCTGTGCGGGGAGCAGATGATGCACAGCGGAAATGAGGTAAAATCGTTAAATGTCATGTGAAAAATCCATTCTAGCAACGCAGCAATAAAAAAAAGGCGACTTTTCCCCACATTAATGCACCGATTCAACAACACAACATCCAAATAAACGTGCAGAAAACATCAAAATAAGGTGCTAAAGACCTCACCCCCGTCGTCAAATTGCTCTCGGTAATACACAGTGGACTCGGCCAGTGCAGATGCCGCCGACACGGCCAACAAAAGCAGCGACAGGGCGGTCATGGTGGCGAGGCGGAGGGTCCCAGTCGAACGCAAAACGAACGAACCACAACTAGAAATACGTGTAAATGCAAATGTGCGTGTCAGTCGGCAGTGCAGCGGCGGTGCGGGTCCGTCCAGCCTCTCATACAGCCTCTGAAGCCGCCGAGACGCTGCGCTGCTCGCCTCTCGGCTCGGAACAGATGTCTGAATCTGATTGGCTGTCGGCTCGGAACCTCAATAAGGAAGCGATGGCGCCGTCGGCCAATCGGAGGAGAGGGAATGTTGACGGACGTGCGCTGGAGCCAATGGGAGCAGACCACGCGTTTGCTCCATAGAGTGATGCGCGCCGCGAGTGGATCACATGAGAAGGAGGAAGGAGGAAAAAAAAAAAGAATCCCTGTCGTTCACTGAAAATCACAGCGTGTGTGTGAGGATAAAAAAAAGCAAGAATAAATGAATTATCAGTTATGTAACAGCATTTCTGAGGTGAATTAATTCAACATATTGTACTGAAGTCTTTTAGTAGAAGTTAATCCAGATTGTAGGTTCAGTTTTGTTGCACTCATCCGACGACTTTTGGTGCACGACTGTAAAACACTGGCCAAAAAAAAGTGCATTTAAAAAACTGTTTTGTAAAGAAAAGACCAAGTGAAGTACTGATTTGTATCCGAGCTCAGCTGAGGATCCTGTAATCTGCACTGAGCCACAGAGTTTGTTAATCTGTGATCATCAAATTATGTCTGAATTAAAGGGATTTTTAAAATAAAAGAACGAAGTGGAGCTCTGAAATGCAGATAATAAATGACACCTCGATCAGATGTAGAGTGTTTTTGTTGCCTCCATGTGAAGGACCTTCATGGAGATCATTGAGCTGATATCAGTTTGTCCTTTCATAGGTGTTGCTCAAGAGACAGTTGATGATACAAGACAACCAAAAAGCAGGTGACATAATTACTGTGTGCAGGAATGTGCAAATGATTTAATTGTTCTATCCATCCTCAGCCCAACCAGTCCATTCAGACGTCCATCCTCCCTGAGCCTGGTTCTGCTGCAGCTTTCTTCTTGGTAAAGGATTTTTTTTTAAAATCCTACACCTGCCAAAAGCTCATCAAAGGGAATCTTTAGACTTGTTGGGTTTTTCTGTGTAATTTTTTTAAGGTCTTCACAGGGCATTGAAACGACATGTTGTGACGGCTGCTTTTCTGTCCATAATGTGGACGTTACTGTCCTCAGAGGAGAGTCTCTGATCCTTCAGGTGCACTGATGTCTGCAGCAGTTGACTCTCCTGGTCTCTGACATACACCAGTGGAGCAGCTCAGTCTTTCCTGTATATAGGTCCTCGCTGCGTGGGACTCCATACTGAATGTTGCTCAGCTTGTTTTTTGCATGTTTTATCTTTCGTGTGAATCAGTTTTTGAATAAGTGTTGCTGTTTCAAGATGTTTCATAGACACACCAGCTACAGACGTGATGACGTTGTTGGAACAATGTTGGTCCACCTGTTCTCTTTAGGAAAATGTTTTCACATATGCAAATACTCTGATTATTAGCAGTTTCTGATGTGGTTTTACAACAAAAGGTATAAAGCAGAGCAATTTGACTTCTTGACTGAAGAATCCAGAATCCATCCCCAAGCAAACAGAACTATCTCCAGCAGAAAACAAGATATTTCCTATTTTACCATGAAGAAGCGTACTGAACCAGAAATAGCCTCTTAACTGGTTCTGATGTCAGAAAACCACACCGGTACATCTCCTATACGTCTTAGACTCAGATCTATAGTAACCTGAGACAAACGTTTCCCCTTCAGCAGGTAAACGTTCAAATAAATCTTCTCAAGTCTCCACAGTGAAGCTCAAACATCCAAGTGAAGTCCATTAAATAAGCTCAGTTTAAGTGTAGAGTTACAGCCATCAGATATTTGCTTTGTCAGATGAATACTCTACAGATTCTCTTAACTGTCACGGGAGAGTGCAAAAAAAAATGTGCACATTAGAGAAGCGGAAACCAGTGAGTTTTCTGTGTTTTGGCTTTGAATGATTCTTTTTTTATTCAGGAAAATTACAGTCAACTGTTGTTCCATCCACGAGCAAATCCTTTTAGTTGTAGATTTGTGCAGGATTTTTGTGCCACCTCCAGTATAATGAGCCTTCATTGTTAAAAAAAAACAACCTCTCCACAGTCAATATTAAATACATAATCGAGACCACTTACATTTCAAACCAACAATTTCTCTGAAGCTTCTCACTACAACAAACCAAGCAGCTGTTTATTTGGTTTACTGAGTGTTTATTCCTTTACTCCACGTCTGACAGACTTTCTTTCCGTGTTCTTATTGTGATGTGACCCTCAGCTTTCACAGAACTGAATCACTAAAGCAGACGTGTGTGTGTGACAGTGAATGTGTGGGTGAGAAATAAAGCACATCAGTGAATAAACTACAAGCCGCCCGCACTTTAAGGAATGACGACGCAGGTTTATACAAAATTCATTAAAACTACAGACTTAAAAATATATCACAGTGACACAAACACAGCCGACTATCGAATGGATGAATTTCGTTCTAGTAACATTTCCATCACAGTTCTCCTGACTGCTCACAACACTTTAATATTCTAATCAGTTAATGACTTAAAGAACCAACAAACACTAAAATAATCCAGCACAGTAAAAATGTTCAAATATGGCACCGGTGACATCAATAAATAATTTAAGCACAATGACTGACATGCGTGAATTATGAGCGTCTCTGAACTTAACAGTGCGACTCAGACATGTGACAAAATACGCGTTCGCTGACGTCCGATTGCAAAACCACCGTCTTCTTCGCTGTGACGCTGTGAGGAGTCGAACCAGGCAGGCGAAGGCGAGCAGCCACGCTCCACATGACGGACGCCCGCTGCTGATCTCCACAGGATGCTGCTCTGCCCTCCGACGCTGGACCTGCCCTGCTGCCTGGCCTCCTCTGAGGGACCTGGACGGACACGTCACGCTGTTGTGGGTGGAAGCAGGCAGAGCAGAGCACATCTCCTCCGAGGCTCTGCATGCAGATGGGCTGGTCGGGCATCTCACACCTCCTCCAGGTCTCTCTCCCTCTCCTTCCGTCGGTGTCTCCTTCTAGGGGAGAAAGAAGTTGATCCTCTGCGGGATGGATTTGCATCCTTGGGCTGAGAAGAGTCGCTCCTCTTTGGGGACGTACAGCATCGCCTTGGCCACCTCGTCCAGCGTGGCTTCGTCCGTCTCCAGGCCTCGCGCTGCGTAGGCGTCCCGGGCGCACAGCTTGACGTGGCGGTACTCCAGAGGCAGGAAGGGCACGAAGAAGTCGATCAGGTGACCGGACATCAGCTCGCTCTGGGCAAAGCCGCCTGGGGGAAGAAGCACAGAAGAACTGATCAGACAAACACAATGAACCAGCTTCAGGGCTTTTTTCTTGCTCTTGTCACGTTTTCTTCTCACTGTTGGCTCATTTTTTCACTGCAATAAAAAGTATAAAGAAGCAGAAAAACCAAGACTAGAAGGACACAGTTCTAAAGCCATAAAACATGAAAGAAAAACAAAAGTTGAGTTTCTTATTTTAAAAACAAAAACTAGAATCATGCAGCATTTATTTAAGGGACACACAGCCTGCAGTTCAGCCAAAACACATCCCTGAATTTTGACGTGATTGTTGGTCACAGTTGAGTTGGTTGAGGCGCTGAGAAGCTAATTTTGTTTTTACAGAACGTCGTTAACACACGGTTTATGTTTCTGCTTTAATTGTAATGAGACATGTAGGATGAAGTGACGATTTTCAACTCAAACACGTCTGCTGTGCACTATGACACAGTTTTAATGCCACAAATCATAAAAAACGTTGAATTTCTTTGTTTTTTTTTTACAGAAGAGAAAATAAAAAAAAAACATGAAGGCAGCTAAAGAATAAGAACAACACCTGCCTCGTCCCAGTGTTTTCTCACAGGTTTCTTTTGTTATCCATTTGCTCAATTATATGTTGTTAAAAGAAATATACGAATACCTTTTTAGTGCAGAAAACAAAAACGAGCTGAGGGATCATGAGCGTCCCGTCAGCTGCCATATCTGTCTGAACTTTGTTGCATTACTCGACATCTCATATTGGATCTTTTCCACATTTAAATACCAGGAAGTTTGGAAATTGTAGTTTTTTTTCTGCAGGATCTTGTTGGTGCAAATCTTTTATTTTTGGCAAGCTTTAAAAATGCGACAACTAGAATAAAGTGATTTGATGAAATATTACAATTTTAGGCTTTTTTTCAGTTGACACAAGGCATCACAGACGAGCAGTTCAAAGACCGTCAGAAAGATGAGAATCCAACGACTTTCTCTGTTTTTACAGTTTCCTTCTCTGATAAGTGCTTTAATTTTAGTGATTTTTTAAAGTCATCATGTCTTTCAAACCCACTGGTGGATTTTGGGTTTTAAAAGGTTAAAGTTCCATTAATGTTTTAATATTAAGACAGAAAGGATGTGCTTTAATGTGAAAAGATCACTAGTCCCACTGAAGCTGCTGATAATTGAAGCTTCCGACTGCAGCTGTGAGCAGGTTTCAGTGTTTTAATTCCATCAATAAGAACAGCAGCTTGAACCCTCATGAAAACAGCACCACAGCTCACACATTCACACAAAAACCTGCAGAGGGTGAAACTACACAAAGCTGAAGAAAACCGAACACCTGCCGACCTCCACAGACACATGAACCTGCTGCGTACCTTGAGACTCCATAGTTTCTGCTCGCAGCCGGTGCTCCAGGTCCTCCATGCCGATGTCCTCCCGGTTCTGACCCGAGTGCCAGAAGTCCAGAGCCACATCGTTGATCGTTGCACCGCCAATGTTACTGCAGCGAGAACAGGCACAGCAACAACATGACGTCACATCTCTGCAGCTGTCGAGTTGTAAGTAGGACTGTGTCGTGGATGGAACAAGAGTTTGATCTACAGTTTGTTTAATGCGTTTGCTCTTGAACAAATGATGACAGATTACAGGTGACCAGCACTATAAATACCTTAAAACAGTGATACTATTAAATGTGGCACTAGTTTATTTTCTCCAAGAGCAGATTTCAAATAAATTGAGTCAAAAATGAGGTCAGAACAAGACTTTATGTAAAAATGTAGAATCTCAGGCCTTCACTGCCCGACATCACATCACTGTACCGTAACCGCGCAGTGACAAATGCTTTTCTATATCGGACTGAAGAGACTATTTTTCAGGATAAATCAGACATGAGTAATGGATAACATAAAAAATCCATAAAGAGGGCTAATGGAGACAAAAGCAGAAACATCCTTCATCTCAGATGAGCTGCCACGATATCTGGAGCGGCGGTGAAACGCACTGAGTTTATGAATCTGCCTCAACAGACTGGATGCGGCTGAAACAGCGAGCGAACCTGAGGAAGAGGAAGACGGCTCTGCGGTAGCTGACTCCGTCCACGTTGTCGTAGTGATCCATGTAGGGCTTGATGGCGTCGATGAGGCCTGGGTGCAGCTTCTCGGCCTCGTCAAAGATGAACAGAGTCTGCGGGCAGCGGAGCACCATGTCTCGGATCGCCTCTCTCAGCTGACCCTGGACACGACGAGGAGAAACCAAAGTACAGCCTCACAAATCACTGAAACCTTCAGATTACGTTTTGACTCTGAAAGCAAATAATCAATTTTCAGGTTTTATATGGAGGCAGAACTTGATGCATCTGACATTAATACCAACACAGAAAAGGATCTGGAGCCTAAAACCAGCACATATGTAGCACAACCATAACTATATCTGTCTACATATATACTACTGGAGGTCAATACCCCCTTTATATACCCTACCTATAAACTATATCCCCTGTATATACCCTATCTGTTGGCTACACTCCCTATATATACCCTAACTGTACATTATTACCCCTACATATACCCTACTTGTA